TTGTTTTGTTTTGTTTTGTTTTGTTTTGTTTTGTTTTGTTTTGTTTTGTTTTGTTTTGTTGTTCAGGACCGAAAGTTCAATTTCATCTACCTCGACACGCACAGTCCTCATGCACTCGATTCTCTCCTCACATTCAAAGTAAAATTCTATGTTTGACTCATATCAATATATATCTGCAGCTACTTTGGAAATTTCAAAACAAAATAAAGTTCATGTATTAAATGTATGTGTGTATGTATGCATATAAATAGTTTATTACACTGCTACTTGTGTATTACAGGCGGAAAATTTCACGTAGGGGCGAGAAAAAATTAAATACGGCTTTACTCGTAAAATTCTCTGGCTGTAATAAACAACTACATTACTGTAAAAATCGCACGACACGAAGAAACTTTAGAAGAGTGCATGAAAAACAACCCATGTTTATTTTAAACAAGTAAACTTGAAAGTCACGAACTTAAACCGCTGACGTGAGCTGCAAAAAGGAAAGGGAGAAAATCCCCTTGCGCTAACACAGGGGGCAGAGGGGGCACTTATCTTTCATCTTTATATTATTTACAGCTGTACATAAGATAAGTAAGCTTTAGCCCGTCAGATACCTCGCGCTGTGCCTTAGACATAACGATTGCTTGACGAGCACGCGGAAGGGGAAAATAAGCGCGCCCTGTTGCTTGGATAATAATGGAAGATAAATGCGTGAATACCGGCTGACAAATTATCCAAATACACCTACATGCAGTCTTGATTGTATTTTGCTATTAAAGGGCAAGGAGAGTAGCATCACTTTTTTCAGCCTCAATTTCGTATTTTCCGAGAAAGACTGGAAAATCTTTTTTTTTTTTTTCCTTTTTCGTTGCTTTGCTTTGGGCTCCATTCATACCTACTGAAAGTTCCAGTAAACTTCGTTGTTTGTGATTGGTGTAAATATCATGCTGCCAATTTCTTTCCGTATTTTGACCGTGAAATAAGTACTAATTTTCAGATCGGGATACTTTTAGATTTAATTAGTGTCACGTGCCATCTATCGACCAATGAGAGTGTTTTGTTATATCGGTTATAAATCGAGTAAGGCCTAGGGCAAACGTCGAACTTTCCATGCACCAAACTCATTAAAGACAATGGATATCAGGTGATAATGAGGCGATATTCTTTGATGTAATTTAGTTCGGTGCATGGAAAGTTCGACGTTTGCCCTAGGCCTAATGGAGCAACGAGTAAAACGAGTAACCAGAAGACGACTGAGTAACGTGATATTTTTTTATACATTGAAAATTCTGAAATAAATAATCAGTGTTAGTATTTTTAACACAAAAGAATTTAATAAACAACGGATAGAGAGGTTTTTCTCGTTCAAATCATTTTTATATCTGAAAAGAGCATAAATCCACAAAGGCGTGCGAGTTCGCGCGTTATATTCTCCTGTAGGTAAATATAACAGCATAAGATCTTAATTGTAACCAGTGAGCGCGCTGGATTTATTATATTCACTTGTGTAAAAATACTTAATAATAATAATGTGTAATAATATTCTTTGTTGTGTTTTATAAGTCAGCTTATATTTCGGTAAAATACAGTGCCAATATGGTTGTGCTCCATGTAGTAGTGGTATAACTCTTTAACAAATGCCTTCTGCCATGTGTGTCTCGGAAGCTGTTATCTTCACTCATAGAGACTGAAACCAGTATGAAACTGTAGCCGTTTAGATCAATCGATTACCTTCGTTTGAGATCTAGCAATTGTAGTAATATAATGCATTGATTCAATTTTTTGTGTAGTGGTATCTCGTGCCGATTCTGACGGAGAAATGAGTGAATACCGTACGATTCAAATATAACCTAGTGTTCACCACGTGGTTTCAAGGATTACTTTTGACTTTAATTTATTATTTGTTTATCTTTTTTTTTTTTTGTCAGAACCAGGTTATGACTTTGACATTAAAGTATATGCCTCCTGGTTACCACTGATATTTATATAAGACATAATAAGAATGTGCAATAAAACGTTCTGGATTTAATATTAGGTTCATGCATATTTCCTCGCTCAACTCTCGCTGCTGTATGGCTAAATAATAAAACGCCAGGCTAGATAGAGTTAAAACAGCCATAGGCAACATAAAAATAAGCCTTGAGAGAAAATCATGAAAGAGTTCTTGACCAATGTGTACAATAATTAATTGGAAAGTGCCTGATATAAATCTGGGCTTTCTGTGCACGTGGCTTCCTGTCCGCCATCTTGAATTCCTTGAATACCCGGGTAATAGCGTTATTCGTATGTACTTTTTTTATGATCATTTCGTAATC